TTATTAAGGCCCCTACATTAGGCCTGTTTAGGGTTTAGCGGTTGGAGGTTGATACGGTTTAGGTTCGGATTCTACAAAGCTTCCGCTCAAAGGCAGCGGGGCGTCAGGCCATGTAAGCTGAGGTAGCACGATCGCATCTCGGGAGAATGTATGTTGGGGCAGAAAGGTTACGGTCATCCTTGATTAGGGTTTGGGGCTTGAGCCCGAAACCCTAAACCACACTATCGACCTCACCGCTTCTGCACCACATGTTTATCTGGAGCACCCTTCAGGCGAGCAGTATCAAAGATGAATAATTACGAGTAACTCTTATGGTAAGCCAGGTCGAACCTGTACTGTAGTACCCTTCTACAGATCCATTATAGGAGCCCTGGTAGCCAGTACTTGCTCAGTAGTAGAGTAGAGTAGGTGAGATCTGTCTTTGACTGAACCCTAAGCCCTTAACCCCTAAGCCCCTAGACCCTATAAAACTTTATTGGTGTGTATAATCCAAACACCATCCCGCAGGTTAACGTATAGTTCCTGGATACTGGACATATGATACGGCTGATGGTCTAAATTCTGCATTACCCATAATAAGGAATAAGTATGCCATCATTCGCATAGTTTAGGGTGCTTAAGGTAACGCAGAGTTACATCATCAACAGTACCATACATTTTTCTATCTGGAATTTACTGGTAGTTAGGACCTTGGGACCTTGGCTTTGTGGTTTTTGATTTGGTTCTTAGCATCGGATCTAGGCTTTAGGGTTCAGGGTTTAGGGTTTTCGGATCTAGACAGCTAACTTGTCAAAGGGTTCCAAGTTCTAAGTGCCCTTTGGTTTTGCTCAGTGTTAACTACTAGGCCGCATCTTCTGTGTAGTTGGACCATGCGTCTTGCGTTTCCACTGCGCGTCTTGCTCATGTAGTTGCTTCTGGTTGTATTCCATGGCAGAGTGAGTATACCCTGACACCCTGTGCATTCAGACATGGAGTCTGTCAAGCCACCACTTTAATGAGAACCTAGCTGAACCTCTACCCTACAAGGCCACGTGCAAATCCAAAGGCAGCTACATCCTGGACCCCGAACCCCAAACGGGATACTACTTTTGACGTATACTTTTTGGGGCTTAGGGTTTAGCACAGGGGTCTGAATAATCAGTGTTGATATCCCTTTGTAGTCCCAGTAAATTTTCCATATAACTGAGTACTTTATGCTAAGGCAATGTGAAGGAGCAGCATAGGATTTAGGATGTGTTGAAGCCAGAAAGTGGGTCACTGTTATCTTTATAAAGAGAAAGCAACCCAGCAGCAACTAACCCCCAATCCATGTTCCAACTTTTTTAGGCCTGCTGTAGAGGTTGCAGCAAGCAAGGTCATTCTGGCTTTTCCTCTGGACTTGCGTTTCCCACGAATCTGGGCAGCACAAGATCTCGCCCCGTGACTTCTTGCAGCTGCCCTCCCCTTGGCGATAGGATTTTCAAGCGGGTTGAGCAAAACCAACATAACCAATACGCAGCCGTACGCAGGCTCTCTTATGAGAAAAGGCAGAGGTTTGTCATAAGACCGATTCTCTCGGGTGAAGTCGCAGGATAGTTTGGGGCAGTGTAGGTTGCTGGCTTTCTCGCCCAGGTCCCGAGTTGAGGTTGTGCCACCAAGCCCTGAACCCTAAGCCCCGAAACCCCTAAACCCTGAACCCTTAATCCCAATCCTCGACCCTAAGCCCGAAACCCCTAAACCCTAATCCCTAAATCCTAAACCTGTAAACCCTAAACGCCCAAACCCGAAGCACCTAAACCGGAAATCACTAAACCGGTTACTACCCTAGGGCTCATGGATCCCCATAGTGAAAGCCCAAACCTTAGCCCCCAAAGCCCAAACCTTCCCCTAGAAAGCCCATAACAGCAATAAGAGCCTTAGGGTAAGCCCCAAGCCCAAAAAACCTCCACCCCGCTGAACCGTAAACCCTCAAGCCCGACCTGGACCCTGAAGAACCTCCCTGTTTTTAAGGACAGATAGAAGGAAATCATCGGAAGGAAGGGACCCTAAAACCCTCAACCCTAAACCCTAAACCCTAAACCCCAAACCCCAAACCCTAAACCCTAAACCCTAAACCCTAAACCCTAAACCATCATAGGAAGCAAGGAACCCGGAGCCTGAGACCCCCCCCCTGCAAGGAAGCGGCTTTCAGCTTGGACTTCACAGGGTCGTCGGTGGATGCTTGGCTTCTGTAACCGAGTCGTCGAGTATGTCACCTTTAACCTCTGTCCCTAGGACTCTAAGGACTCATATTTTTCAGGCTTTTGGGCCCAAAGACCCTATTATAAAAGGCTTTTGGGCTATTTTGATGCTAAGGGTGTGGGGATGCAGCTTATCTCGCGTCCGCGCTTTAACATTTTGCGGGATCCTCTAATCCCAATATACTTCCAAAGGTTACTAAACCCCCAAACCCTAAACCCCGAAACCCTAAACCCCTAAACCCCTAAACCCCTAAACCCCAAACCCCTAAACCCTAAACCCTAACTCACCTTTAATTCCCCAGGATACTGGACAAGCAGGTTCAGGGTTCCCTAAAGGGTTCCTTTTAGAGGTGCTCAAGGGTTTCGCCTCTGAAATGGTGACTTGAAGGGTTGCTCGAAAGATTCTGCTTCAGGGCTCTGGTTTGGGGTTTGGGGTTTAGGGTTTAGGGATAGGGGTGTGGCGTTTATGGGTTGGGGCCCTAAGCCCTAAACCCTAAACCCTAAACCCTAAACCCTAACCCCCTGGGGTTGGAAAGCGGTTCATGGATGTTGGAGGCGTTGAGTTTAGAGTTGCAGGTTGGGTGTCTTGGGTCTCCCTAAGCCCTACCTTAAGAACCCAAAACCCACTTTTTTGTAGGTTCTTATTATAAACCCTAATATGGGACTTATCGGGACCCTACAAAAAAGTAGGTTTTGGGTTTTTTAAGGTAAACCCTAAATCCTAAGAATTCATAAAGGGTTTTTCAGAGCTTAGCTACAGGGCTCGGAGTGCAGAGCGAGGGCTTTAGAATGGAGAGGCGATGATTGCGGTTGCAATGTAGGTGCGTTCATAAATTCAATGGAGGTCCTGTAATTATGATAGGGGCCTTAAGGAATAGTATAGCCAATTTTTCGAGCTTCTTGATTACAGTTTGCGGGAATTTCAGGCAAGTTTAATGGGGTTTTGGGGTATGTCGTACTGTAATTATGATAGGAGCCTTAATGAATAGTATAGGTGATTCTTCGGCAAAGTCCGGGTCGAGGGCTTGTGGCTTCTGGTACGGGTCATGGCTTGGTGGCCAAACCCTAAACCCTAAACCCTAAACCCCTAAAACCCTAAACCCCTAAACCCTAAACCCTAAACCCTAAACCCCCAACCCCTAAACCCCTAAACCCTAAACCCCTAAACCGGACGCTTTGGGGAAG